ACCATGCCGGCACGACCATCAATGGCTGGTGAGACAATCATGGACCGACAGGACCATCACTGGCAGCGGGATCACCATTCACCATCATCGCCGACTGACTTGATCCAGCGACGTTGACCTCTGGTCTGACAGCCATCCGTGCCGATCCACCGACCCCAGCCAGCTCATTCTGTGCCCTCCCGGCCTCTGCCGAGTCAGCGCATCCGTGGCGTCAGTGCGATGTCTCCGCTCGACTGATCAGTGATCTGGCACTGCGCCCCGCTGCCACAGGGCGTATCCGAGCCGATCACGCAATCTGCCGGCGCGGTTCGCTCACCGGGATGACAGGGCTCAGTGCGGCGGTGGGTGCTCTCGACACCAACGCCGGTGTATTATCCCTCGCTCTCACGGAGACGGATACAGGAAGCACACAGCGCCTCCCACACACAGGAAGTGAGGCTGAATTTCCCGCCGCGCACCGATATTTGGGAGGGATTCGCAGCCGCCCCGCCGCCCAATCTTGCAGTGGGATCGGCGGCGCGCGGCGTCAGGAAACCCGAGCGTTCTTCCAGCCTCTGGTGTTGCGGTGGCGGTGGGCGGAGTTCGGTTTGGTGCCACAGGGAACAATACCTAGTTGGGCTCGGCTTCAGGTCACGTTTCCGAAACCGTCTGGTTTCCGAGCTCAACGCTGAAAGCTCAGTGTGCAGATCTGAGCACTGTTATCGGAACGATTTACAAGTCACGAGTCGCAGCTGCATTCTGCAGTGCCCGCTGGAAAACTGGCATCAGCTGGTCTGAGCGGCACTGCATACCAAAAAGACCTTCAACCTCTTTCAAAGCCAAATCGTCGCTAAATTGTAGAGCACTGCACAGTACGGGGGACAGTTACGGCCAACAAAGTGAGCAAAATTTACTACTTGATGAATATCATATCATGCTGAGCGAAAGCCGAACGGTAGTTCCCCAGAAGTGACCCACGTGCATACCACTTCCCCATGGTCTGTTTGGTCCAGCCGCGGCCAGCCTGTCCGGGTCGATGCGGCGGGTCTGTGACCCTGATGACCACCGCATATGGCCCGCCGGTCGCGCCCTGACCGGTCCCGGCGCCCGCCCCCCAGCCGGCAGGTATCCAGCGGCCAGAGACGCATCCGGCTGATGGGCGCCGATCGAATACCGGAGGCGGTAGGCCGCCCAACACTACCGGGTGCGCCGCCAGCCGGGTCCTCCTGCCCGGGCAGCCCCGGCAGAGGGGGAGGGGGCGCGGGACGACACACCGATCACGGATGCCCGGCTCCGGCACAGATCAGCCGGCTATCTGCCGCCCGGCCGCCCGGCAGCAGCAGCAGACGGGCCGGGCGGCTATCAAGGTCAGACGTCCGACCCGCCGCCGCCGCCGTCCGTCCGCTCGGCTGTCGGACCGATTCAGTCCACTTAGCTCGGATAGACGCCTCGAGCGGCCGGACGGGTCGGCTGGTGTCACCAGACGGCTCTCCGGCCGTGTCAGCAGTGTCACTGGTGTCACCAGATGGCTCTCCGGCCGTGTCAGTTGGTGTCAACAGGCGGCTCTCCGGCCGTGTCAGTTGGTGTCACCAGGCGGCTCTCCGGCCGGGTCAGTTGGTGTCACCAGACGGCTCTCAGGCCGTGTCAGTTGGTCCCAGCAGGCGGCTCTCCGGCGTTGGTGCCAGCAGGCGGCTCTCCGGCCGTGTCAGTTGGTGCCACCAGGCGGCCCTTAGGCCGTGTCAGTCGATGTTACCAGGCGGCTCTCCGGCCGGGTCGGCTGGTGTCACCAGGCGGCTCTCCGGCCGTGTCAGCCGTTGTCACTGGTGTCATCAGGCGGGTCTCTGCGGCACCGGCAGAGGCGCCGCCCCACCCGACTGACCTCTGCGGTCCCGCTCACTGCCGCCGAGCGCTGTCTACACTCTACAGGGAGGCTATTGCCACACAGAGGATAGCCTCTTACACACCGATGTAGTATCCGTAAATGACCATGGCAAAACTAAACAGAGAGGCTACTATAAAGCAAACTATCTATTTGAGTCTTCGCACAGATAACAGTAGCACTACTGTTATCTGTGGTCTTCGTGTTGACTGCAACTGGGATATTGCTAGCTGGAGCTTTATTGCAAATGCATCCGTCTCGTGCCCGAACTCCAAACTTTTGCCCTGGTATTGTTGAAACGATAGCATCTCTCACCACCACCTACCATCATTCATCTCGGTATCATGTCTGTCAGCAGTTTCCCGAACACGGGCTGCCCCTCCATCTATCGTTTCCGTCCTGTGTGCTATCCTACCCGCGCAGTCCTCGACTCGGCATCGATATCAGCTGAGCATGTGATCAGCTGGTTCCAGCAGCGGAGCGGGCACGCGACCTCCTCCCCCTGTCTGAGCCCCCTGTCTGGGCTGACCGCAGTCGTCCCGTCGATAACGACGAAGCCCTGTGACGCCGCGCGAGGTCATCGACAGCGACGCGACGACCGGTCGATTCTCTCCGGCTGGTCAGGGGAGCGGTCCCGCCCGGCTTGGCCTCAGGCGACCCATCGAGGCTGTGCTGAGTATGAGAGGGTGGAGCAGAGTAATGGGACGGTGCCGAACTGACGGCACGCCCCGCCCCGCCAGGTCCAATATCATGAGTCAGTCGACCCATCACAGCTCAAAAAGCTTATCCGCTAATTCGCAACCCAGGAGACCGTCGAGAGGTCACATCCCACGAGGCCATAATCTCTGATTCTCCACATGGCACATAGAGGTCGGCTAAAAGGCCGGGACCTGGGGGACTCCTGAGGGTCAAATTGATCTGTGACCGCACCCAACCCCGCCGGTCCGTCGCTCCGACAGCCGCCCGTCGGTCACCCAGCCCAGTAACCGAGTCGTCAGCGGGCCGATGACGTCACCGGCCGGCCGGCTGGGAGGGTTCCAGGGTCCGGCGCAGGACGCCGCTAAGGTCAAGGGTCACGGGACGCGCCGGTCAGAGCCACCGAGCCAGAGTTCAGGACACGGCTGAACCGCTTGGATGATGCATTTGGAACGTGATGGTCCGTTTTCATAGAGTTCGTACAGAGAATGGATATCAATCGGGCATAGCATCTGTTCGCTGGTAGGTAGAAGGGAATTATGTCATGATATAAGTGACTACGTAACGAGCGTCAGTTTCAAACTTTCAGAAACAGATGTTCGCTGTTTTTCAGCATTAACCATGCTCAATGACCAGTATACGAACTGAATCATACAAATGTGAAATGTGTTTGCACATCAGATGAGGGCTCGGCTCGCTCCTATGACGAAGACGAGATGATGACGAGATGCTCCCAAGACACATAGTACTAAACACATGCGACACATTTTCTTAGCATGATTTTCAACCAAAACTGAGGAACTCGCGGAAATAGGCTAGGCTGAACAATGAACATATGTCATTATGAAGATTATCGCCTGACAAGGATGTTTGCATGGGCGAACAAATTTGATAATTATCACTGGCATTTCGGCCTACATCTCTATTCTCTAATCCATGTGGAGCACTAAGCCCACTGACTACTGAGTCATCCCTGGTTGGATAAAATGAAACTGCTCTGCACATCACGCTAACCATCTGTAAATTAGCGCGCAGCGCCCATCAAGGCTGCCTTCTCAGAACAGCACAGAGACAAAATGTCGCCACCAATCAGCATATCTAGGAACGGCGCAAGTGGGATAACACAGGGACACCCTGCATTGCTGGACAAGGGGGGTTGGGGGGGGGGGGGCTAGTCATCACTCTACAGAGGGGGCGTCATCACGTCACCGCAGCCCTGATCGGCGGCCGGCTAGTACTCTTGCCCGCGCTCACATACGTGCACGTTACCCCGGCAACGGGCTATTGACCAATGAGAAGCGAGAAAAGTGTTACGTCACTGCGATTTTTCATATACCTGTGCCCCCCGGACGTGACGTAGTGTGCTCGCGCGCGTGCAGGGTCTCTGCGATCGAAAAAGAGCGCTAGCAGCGCGCCACTCGACGCCGCAATTGTCAAAACCGGCGTGTTAGTATGCTTTATTATGAATGATGCGTGTAAAAGTGAGTTTTTATGTTGTTTATTTGGAGGAAATGGTTGGAATAAATTGAGTTATTTTTATTTCTGTTGGTTGGAGTTTTTATTCCAAAGATTTCGGTCTATACCATTGATATTTACTGAAAATACCTTCGCTTGAATAAATTGCAGATATTTGGCAACTGAAGTGTTAGGTAAGCCTAAATGATTTGTAAAAAGGTAAGAGACACCCTGATTATCATTTGAGAAACGAAAATATATGAATTTTCCTTATAAGAGTCGCTCAATATGCTACTCCGCGGTTTATGCCCCGAGGGTGTCGGAGGGTTCCCGTTAGTTTGTCGTTGGCGCTCCGCTCGCGCGCGAGCCGACGTCACCGCCTGTGACGTCGGCTCGCGAAATACGTCATACCCTGCACACGAAATAGCCGGCTGCCGAACAGCGCTCGCGTCATCGTCACTGTTTGCCGTCAAACCACGTGACTCACGGCCGACCGACAATGGCGGCGTTCAACTGACTGCCGGCATGACACTGGCACCAGCCGCCTGTTACGGTTGGGAATCGAGAGTGACTGGCGGGCGGCATAGCAGCCACACGGGAACAGACAGGGGAGGCATGAAATAGGCATGGAATAGGTGTGGTGTAGGATTGACATATGGACGGGTGTGGTTTAACCGTTGCACAGCGCGGAAACGTCACGGTACTGGAAAGTACGGCTGATGGCATTTAGCGCTGCAGGTGGGTTCAAACTGTGGACGGTGGACCCACCACCCATCCACCATATTAGACGATCAGCGACCAATTCGTGTTCGTTAGCAGGTCTTTACATCGAACCTAGATTATAGTGTGTTTCATAACCTCCCACCATGTTTCTCACATTCGCAGGCCCCAGCCCGCCGGGAGAAGAAGCAGTGTGGCATCTCCTGCTACTAAGCCGATACGGCCCAAGCCCCAACCTCACCGAGGCGGAGGGTTTGCATTGACTTCTTACCTTGAGCCGGCGGCGGCTTGTGCGCGGCGTCCTTTCGCCCCAGGGTGCGTCCCAGGGTGCCGACGCGCCACGAGCGGCTGTCCGACGAGCCCGACCGGTTCATTGCGGTCCCCCTGCCAGACGGAGGAGGGAAACACAGTCAGAAGCGGCACACCAGAGGACGGTAAGGTAGCAGTGCGACACCAGTTGACACACATGAATACCACATGGGGTGTGGAGCAGGTATAGGGATGGGTTTGTGAAGTTCATACCAAATATCCTGACAGGAGACCGCAAAAGCAGTAAAGGAGAATTATAGATCCAATGTCAACGATACCTGTCCGGATTTGTGACAGGTAAGACTTATATAACCGATGATAGCGACACACGGGTAAACATGATAATAGAAGGTTGAATGGCAGGGAAAAAGTTTCGCATTTGACGCTGTAAGCTAACGACGGAAGCGGATGGATATACCGTTGTCGGTTCACACAGGCGCAGTACCGCTGACACAGGGGTGGGGGCGTTTTAATTCACCGTGACCTGTCAGAGCTGTAAGCCTAACTCGATCCGGCTGCCAGCATAACTGACACCAGTGTTAATGCGTCACGACTGTCCATAATGTGCCCTGCTGGGCGCCGGTGGGCGCTGCATAATGGCAGTGGTACAGCTAGCAGACCAGCTGGTCAGTCACGACACCTCGCCGGGCTACACAGGACGGACGGCCGCGGGCCGGTCGTGACTTGACCTAGGCTCAGGCGCTGATCTGCCATCGCTCGATCTGCATTTTCAGCCGCACCGCTGGACTGTTGCTATAACTGACCACTGACCAGCGATGCCGACAGTCTAACACAGTCAGGCTTGGGTATGACCGCCGGCTCACTAACCCCACACCGGTGTCGGTTTTCCTCCTGGCCGGCTCACAGCGGGAGATTATGGCGTGTGTTTTTAGCCGCCAGGAAGGCGGAAACGGACGTCCGGGGCCGGCGCCACAGCGGGGCAGCTCGGCGGGAGCCGATTGGGGCAGCACACGGCAGCTGCTGCCACTGACAGCTGGGCCGACAGGGGCAGCTACAACTGTTGCAGCTGGGCTGGCAGGGGCAGCACGCCACTAACGATGGAACTAAGACAGCTGGGCGGCACGCAGCCACTACAATGCTGCCACTGTGACAGCTGGGCCGACAGGGGCAGCGCGCGGCCACCGCTGGAACTCTGACAGCTGGGCCAGTCATGGCAGCGCGCTGCCACCGCTGAAACTGTCACAGCTGTTACTGTGACAGCGGCTCACTGTTATGATGTTTGCTAACAAAGGGGAGAGCCAAGCAAAAACTCATCATTTCTTGGTGGACTTAGAGCGGACACGTATGCCAATTGTAAAGAATGACGCTTCATTCAAACGTGCACACGTTGTTAGCTGCAGTCGTGCCCTTCATTATACCTACTGCAATACTGCATACGAAAGGAAACAAAGTACCTTGCATCGATACAAGATGTCACTCACATAGAAGGAAGGCGTTTGAGCCAGAAAAAGCAATGACCAGCAAAACATATCAAATCCAAAGTCCATAGCCCAACTATCATATCCAAAGTCCATAGCCCAGTCATTTTAAGTTGTCATTTGTGATTTAGAGATGCGGCTGGAAAACAGTACCTCCTCGCCAAACGAGAGAATAAAGCGCCAGCCGCCAATTGTGTCATTATATGAAGAAAAAATCATACCCTTGAAAAACCACCCGTCTGGCGCAGTGAACTAGACAAAAATGATCCGATCCTGGCTCCTGCTCAGCTTCTTCGGTGAGCATTCGATACCGATGGGTGTAACGCGTTAACTTCAATAGCCTCAGTTACGGATACATATATGAGAGCTCGTTTTCCGTCGGCACACACCCTCCGTGTGGTTCTACACAGGCTCACCGCGCCGCGCCTCACTCACCCGGCACTGGCCTCTGCCGACTCCGCCTGCGACTGGGTCCGCTGGCGGCCGGCGGCACCCGCGCTGGGCGCCATCGCACCACTACTGCCGCGCTGCGCCGCGCCCGACGGCCGCCGAGCCGCCGAGCCACCGGCCAGTGCACACCGCCGCGTGCACTCCGCGTGAGACGCTGAATCACGCGCGCGTTACGTCACGGCCGGCCACCGCTTCCGCGAGCCCGGCGACGGAGACCGGGCCGGGCCAGGCCGGAGCGGCGGCTGCCGGGCGGAGACGCGCCGGCCCCGCCCCCCGGCGTCTCCAGCCGGACACTCCCGGCGAGCCGCGCCCGCCGGCCCGCGGCAGAGAGCGTCCGAGCAGCGCGGAGAGAATGGCCTCCCGGTGGCAGACAGGAGCGCGTCCCCACCGCTCCCGGTAGATGTCAAGCCCAGTCTGTCACCTCGCGCTCAGACCATAAACAAACGGCAGCGGCGGCACGGCGGGGAGACCGCGGAGCGCCGCCCGACGCAGGGTCGGGACCCAGACGCTGCCTTCCCGTCTCAGAGCAGTGGCGTGGCTGCTGGCTGGTCAACAGATCGACAGAGAATCGCTTCCACATCGCCTGTCCCCTCTGTATCCTGTAACGATTTCAGTAGAAGAACACGCAGCTTGACAGCCACTGTCCTGGCTGCAGATAGCTATTTACAAAGCCGTTAGTAATGAAAGTAAGAAACTGGTTGCTACAACTAAGGAGGCCGGGTATCAGAATGAAAACTTTCAATTGTTGAAAAACTACAGCCTTCTTTCTAAAATGGTGGCAAGAAGCTTCCATTAGAGTATCTACACCATTTTGCGACCTTGTGCAGGTCAAACCTAAAAGTGCCATAAATACCAGTACCGTAAGGTGGGGCTATTTGAGACAGTGGGGCTATTTGAGACAGTATTTAAAATTGCTATAAAACAAAAAACAATTAAAATTTATGCTTAATTTTTTGCTCAGGCGATTTCCTGCTCGATTCCACACCTCCCTGAGCAACAATATCGCATAAAAATCAAACGATCTTCATTTTATAGCGATTTTAAATACTGTCTCAAATAGCCCCACTGTCTCAAATAGCCCCACTTTACGGTACCAAGTTTTGTGACTATCACCAGATCAGAATTCAGACACTGGTGTAGCACCATGTAGCACACTGGTGTCACTGGAGTCAGTTTAATCTGGTGCAGAAGCAGAGGACCTGCATTACCACAAGGTGTAAAATACATCAGATATTTATTTGTTTAACCAATCACCCTAGCTGATCTATGGCCTTAGGAAAGACAAATATTTTTTGATGATTTAGAGCAGTTTACTTTGTGATAACATATAGACAGTCACTTCAGTAACTAATCAGAAGGCTGGCATAGTTGAACCAAAGTAAAAGCTAAGGACAAAATATAAATGGTGTGGGTATGGTAATATTCATTACAAATGTACAGGCTAAATGTTTGTTAAAAATGGAATAAGAGAAGCACCAACTAACTAACTAAAAAAGCACAATACATAGCATTCAAAGTTTTCAAGCCATGTATGTCATAGGCAACTCTTATAAGCATAACTTACACTAGGCAAACATCTTATGAGCAAAAAATATGCTATGGCAGATGCCTGAAAACATTACCAGCTACCACTTAAGCTTTGCAACAATACACATAAAACTCTTTTGTTAATTCAGAGATAAAAAAGATTAAAAATCAAAAAAATTGTTATTTATGACTTAAGAGGTACTCCTTTAAAGGAATTTCAGATTTGTTGTTTCATGCTTTCAAAGTACTTTGGCTGTTTCCTTCCTGCGTAAGAGCTGCCTTAAAACAGTGAAAGTTTACCAGATCCTCACCAGAGTTTGGACAATACAAAATACAATACAATAAGATAGGGTGTGGGTGTGGCAGCTGCACCAAAAAAGAGCACTCCAAGAAGGACAAGCTTAATATCTAGCATATATAGTGTAGTCCATTCAAAATCTCACGTGATCAACATCACCAATGCATTAAATTTAATAAATGACTTGGAATGTTTCTTGGCACCAAAAGTAGATACCTATGATATAAAACTTCAAGTGTTATTTCCAATTCCCATCATTAGCCTATTATACTGCACTGCCTAAAAACAAACACAAAACAAAAATGAGCAATTTTAAGATCATGAAACACTGCAGGGCAGCTAAAACACAATTTGCCTGAACTACCCATACATTATTGACATCACAAAGCAAAATCGAGAGCCGGAATGGCGTACAATCAAATAAAAGCAGGACATGCTGACATGTAAAAACATTGACAACAGCAAACATCAAAAAGACTGAAATAAAATACGTAAGAATTAACCATAGTTTTCATATCAAATTCTCTAGTGAAAATGATAAATGAATAGCATGCTACCTATAGCATCAAAACGAGGGCATTAAAACAGGGTGAAAGACGTACCAGTTATATACTTAGGGTGACCATGCACGCTGAAACAGACCAGTAAACACCCTGCAGGAATCCCTAAGCCTTAGGACAAGGTCTATCAGGTTTTCCAATTTCCGTTCTTGATATTTCCGAACCACTGGGCGCTGGCACTCCACCCAAGGCCACTCCACCATTCATTCACCACAAGCGTTGAGGCATTTTCGGTCCATTGAAAGTTTTCTCGAAGGTTGTCAGTTTGTCGCCATTAGATCGCTGGCATAAAAAGAGTTTTGATGATGCTAAATTTATTATTTCCATGATTTTTATTATTATTTTTTCTGCTTGTATTATTGTTGTATTTTGTAAAATACTTAAAAATACATATGAAGTGTAATTTTAAACCTGACAATAAATTAAAACAAAATTTAACTATTAAAGCATCAATTATTGAGAAATGAAAATGCCAAAAGGGGATTGTAGTCAAATGGCGCAGGTCATACATTTAAGGCGCAAATCAATAACGCGCATTTTTATTTTTATTTGTATTTCGATTGATTTCGATGAAATTTGATATTATTTTGTATTGTTCATGCTAAATTTGGAATTATTTGCTTCATCGCACCTCTTTTCATGTGAAGATGATTTATCCATTTTCTTTTGTCCTATACCAATACTGTGCCTTCGTTGGGGTATCAATTACCTTACTTATACTTATACTTATACTTATAAAATGCGGAATTTAGGAAGGCCTTTTGGCCTCTTGGATCCGGACGTGACGAGCTTTGTGTCAGTGTGTCACTGCATCAGTCGTTGGAATGTATGGTGTACTTGGCGTGAGCCCAGTGTTCGTCAAGCCTGGCCTTGAAGCTATTGACTGAGGGCGCATCGACGACAGCGGATGGCAGAGAGTTCCAGTCGTTCAGGACTCGTATGCTGAAGGCGTTCCGCCGCACTCTGGAGACAGCCCTTGGCTTGGACAGCTTCCACTCATGCCCTCGAGTTCTGGTCGTCGTCGCCGCAGTGAAGAACTGAGATGGGTCAACATCCACTCCCCGTCGAAGCACCTGGTAAACCGAGATCATGTCGCCTCGTCGGCGCCGATAGTAGAGCGATGGCAAATTCAGGCTCCGGAGTCTCTCCTTGTATGGCAGGTGGCGGATGCTGGCAACCAGTCTCGTGGCCCGTCGCTGTACCCGTTCAATGCGTTTCTGGTCTTCTCGGTTGAAGGGTCCCCAGACCGCGTTGGCGTATTCGAGATGGGGGCGAACCATGGTCCGGAAGAGTGTTGGAAGCGTAGTCTCATCAATTACTCCGAAAGATCGACGAATGACTGTCAGAATGTGTGACGCTTTGGCCACGACTGCGGCAGCCTGTTCCCGGAACTTGAGCTGGTGGTCTATCTTGACCCCCAGGTCCTTTTCCACCAACGTCTGCTCTAACATAGTGTCTCCCATACGGTACAGGTGATTGGCGTTTCGAGGACCTAGGTGAAGAGACTTGCACTTCGACTGATTAAAAGGAAGTTGCCATTTCTCAGACCATCCGAGCAGGGCATCGAGGTCTCGTTGCAAAGCCTCCGACTCTGAAGCCTGGCCGACACTTCTGTACAGCTTCGTGTCGTCTGCGAATAACTTTAGCCCTGACGAGACACAAGCGGGCAGGTCATTGACAAAGACCAGGAACAGCAACGGGCCCAGGACCGTTCCCTGTGGTACGCCACTGGTGACAGGAACCCAGTCTGACTTTGCCCCATTTATCGACACACGCTGCTGTCGGTCAGTCAAGAAGGCCCTTATCCATTCGAGCAGCCGACCCCTAATGCCGCAGGATTGGAGCTTCAATAACAGGCGCTGGTGAGGCACAGAATTAAACGCCTTACTAAAGTCCAGGTAAAGGGCATCCACAGGGTCACCTTCCTCCAGTGCACGGGTCCAGTCTTCGACAGTTTCGAGAAGCTGAGTGGAGCACGACCTCTTCTGTCTGAAGCCATGTTGCAGGTTGCTCAGCTGTTCCGTCTCGATCAAGTAGGACATCATCTGGTCACGGACCAATGACTCGAGGACCTTGCATGGGACGGCTGTCAGCGTCACTGGTCGGTAGTTTGCAGGGCTGTCCTTCACTCCCTTCTTGAAGATAGGGATGATTTCATCGTTGCGCCAGTCACTTGGTAAGGAGGAGTTGTCCAGAGAAGAACGAAAGAGACGCGCCCATGGCTCTGCCATAACCAAGGCCGTTTCCCGAAGGATGCGCGGGTGGAGTCCGTCTGGTCCCGGTGAGCTGTCTATCTTGAGTTTCAGCAACTTCTCCCTGACCGCGCCAGTGCTGATGTCAATGTTGTCCAGCGGGGGGCCAGGGTAAACAGGTGGTGGTGCTGGCAGGACGGGGTCCTCGACCGTAAATTACCTATTGCAATTCAATTAGGTAAATTGCAATTTTGAATTAGGTAGAAGACGTCAGACACTGAACAGTTAGAATAAAAAATACAATTTTTCAGGGTATATGTATTTAATACCCTGCAATTTTCAAACCTTGTGCTATTTCCTGAGCAGCACATTTTTAACACTTCTAAAACTTGTTTTCTGCATACCCATCTGCTAAAATGCTTATGTATCATTCGGAAAACAATGCTGTGGGTTTTGTTTTAGTTTATATTCAACTGTGTCTGCAGCAGCACACTTGTCAAAGAGCCGCCATGGTCCATAGATGGTCTAGGAACCGTCCATCCCACTTATTCAAATAAGTAAACCATTAAAGTCTATCAATGAAATAAAATAAAAATAAGCTTCAGTTGACAGTTAAGCAGTTCTTGTGTTAAACGAGCAGGAAAACATGCATAAAATACCTCACACAAATGTTATTTTCAATGTTGCATCACAACTGGCGAAGGATTTATACCTATTAAGGGATAGGTTCTTACCTTCCTACCAGATTGGATGGATGGCCAATGCTGTTGACTTTTTGACTCATTAGTTTTACTTTGCATGTTTCTATGACTGTTCACGTCACAGGGTCCCCTCAAATCTAGTTCAAACATACAGGGAGGCCAATGGGGGGGAGGGGGGTTGCAGTGCAAGATGTGTTGCTTACCTTCCCCCCCCCCCCCCACACACACACTTATGACTAGGTGAAAAGATATGGTGGGGAGGTCTGAGAGTGACTTAGTGCAATGTGCAGTCAATGCCATATGGAATATAAATTAAAAATAATGTATGTCCAATCCAACAGCTCAAAAAACTACAGTAGGTAATTAGTATGTCAAGTTAAGACCAGCATTGTGAACATTCATCATGGAGAAGTAAAATATTGTAATCCATTAAACAGCCTACACTGAACCTACAAGAATAGTGTGAGCGGGGACTGCCAGTGACGCTAGGAAGTGTGGCGGCGCAGGCGGGAATTCGGACAGTGGAGACGGACAAATACGGACGGTGAAGACGGCAGTACAGCCCGTGGAGGCGAGAAATGGAGACCGGACAGCTGCAGGAGGAGTTTATCCAGATGAAAGCAGAGATGGCACGACTGAAGGAGGAACTGACACATCGCAATAAAGAGGACAAAGAGGACATTGCCCGTCTGAATGGGGAACTGACCACACTGAAGGGAGACAACGCCACACTGCGTCAGGAGGTGGTCCATCTACGTGAGGAGGTGGTCCGCCTGCGGCAGGCTGTCCTCGAAGAGCGCACCACTCACCAAACTGTTGTGGAGGAGCTTCTACTGGAGGTCGGCCGACGAGCGGCGCCATCCGACCGTTCGCAGAGTGACGGCGAGGAGGTGGATTCACTGAAGGCCGACACTCGTGACAAGTGTGACGTCATCAGTAGTTGTGACGTCATAACCCCAACCGCAGAGGAGGCGGGGCCGGCGGGCGGTGACGTGCGAGAGGCTGCAGCGCGATGGGCTCCTGCCATTTATCTCTTGGACCACGAGTTGCTGAAGATGGTGCTGAGCAACATGGACTGCAGGGAGATGTTCCGCGCCAGGCGGGTCTGCCGTCGGTGGCGGTCCGCCGTCGACGATATCGTTAGCGACTGTCGACGAGAGGTAACCGATCAGCAAACCCGCGGTGGAGAGGTCCCTGCGCCGGCCACGAGCCTAGAGCTCGTCTTGAAGGTGCAGGACCAGCCGAAGATGACCGAACTGCAGGCGCCGACCGCTGCGACGGACACCGACCTCCGACTGGTCGCGGCCACCTGCCACGGTCTGGAGAAGGCCAACCTGCGCGACTTCAAGCTGCGTGTCTCTGCCTTGCGCCGGCTGGCGCGTTTCAACGCCACCTGTCTGCGTGAGCTGACACTGCCGGCCGGCGTCAGCGACTGGCAGCTGGAGGCGCTGCTGGAGCCACTGAAGGCTCTGGAGCGGCTCGATGTGAGCCCACCCGTGGACAGCTCCGGGAAGTGGCTGCGACTGCTGCCCAAGTCGCTGGGGAGGCTGGACATCACTGGATCAGGAATGACTGAATCACCATTGTATCACGCCCGATGGCCGACGTCTGGACTAGATGTGGCAATCCAGAAAGGCACGGACGTACTCCTGGGCCAGGTGGCTGCTCTGGTGACCCGCACAGTCACAGGGCTGTTCATAAGTGAGTCACCATCCGTGACACCGGAAGCGGCGGGACGCCTCCTGACTGCCCTCACCAGCTTGAAAGACGTCACTATACGCGGACCTGGCGTCATTTGCGACACTGTGCTAACCGCCCTCCACGTCTGCTCCCTGCTGCATACTCTGGAGCTTCAAGACAAACGGTCTCCCACGGACATCCCTGCCCTGACCCAGTCGGAGGTGGCAGCGGTCAGCAGGATGGCAGTGACCTGCAGGAAACTGTATACTCTGTTCATTGGATCCTCAACTGAAAACTGCCAGGCCGTCCTGACCGCCCTGCACGAGGCAGACCTGGGATGTGACGCTGGCCAGATCCGTACCATCAATCTCTATATCCCCAAGTCTGTATCAGACAAGCTTACTGAGCGTCCCAACAGCAGCAAAATATGCTTGCGTTACTTCACGTAGACGACTAGCTTCCCGGTGCCTCGTCCGCTCCGGTGCCGGCGGCAGTGTCGGCAACTCGACAACAGATGGCAGCACCGTGTCCCGTCGACAGCGCTGTACGGGGCACAATACACATCAAGACCTTCATATCCAGAAGCGTTTCAAAAGTGTTTACCATCGGCGAGCATCCCAGATCCATGGGTACCTTACCGCCGCGTCAGACTGATTTTTGTTTGAGTTGGCTTGTAATTCGGTTTGGGCACGGGTCGCTACTTGCTACTTGCTACCTTCGTTGACACTGCTTTGATAGACAGTAGGTATGTTCGTCCAAACGTCTGTAAACCGTTGTCACCGTTCTGGAGGTACCGCCGTGGTGACGTCACGTGTGTTGTGACGTGACGTCACACTGGCTCACACCGCTGTGCTGTAGTGGTGCAGTTTCAGTTTATACCTGTTTATACCTATATACGCCTATATACCGTGGTTTATACCAGAGAGTGGTTGGAGCTAGCTGTGAGGGTGGCCGGTCCAGGGCCGGTCCAGGCTATTCGGACCTCGCCCGTCACTGTGTCGGACCATCGGTGTTTCGGTCGGCTGTGGTTCGTTTGGACCAGATTTGTCCGGTTGTGGTTCGTTTAGACCAGATATGTCTGCCTGTGGTTCGTTTGGACCAGATTTGGTCGGTTCGGTGTCGTTCATGGGATAGCACGGGCTGATGGCGATTGAAGTACACAGTGGTTCAGACGCTCAATACACAAATGTTACTGGGAAAAAAAGAATAGTGTGAGCTCTTTTCTTTTATTTTTGTCTTGAGTGCCGAGGGGTAGGCATCATAGTGTGGGTCCGGGTGTCACGTGTGACTGATGAGCTTGTCGTGATAGTATAGTCATCTCGAACCTTTGTCAGTGGTCACAGGCCAGACCGGTGTCCGATTTACCACTGGCGATTTTATGCGTTTTTTTTTTAGCATGCTTCAGGTGGATAGAACGAACGCACCACGTCTTTCTGGGTCTAGTATGTCCCTCTCACAGCTCACACGAGTTACGAGTTTATCAACTGAGGCCAGTTTTACCAACAGAAAAATAGCCACCTACCGTATTTTTTTTTATTTTTTTGTCTTAAGACAGCTCCACATACGGAGCGTAAACGCGATGGGCGCGTAAGCGGAGAAGGCTTTACCGTTTACGCTCCGTATGTGAAGCTGTCTTTAGACAAAACATTACGGTTGGCGGCTATTTTTCTGTTGGTAAAACTGGCCTCTGGTCTAATATCGACATAGGTTTACGGGACCTCTCGACACTCGGACATTCGCCACCGATCCATGAAGTAGACCTCTATTCCACCCACAGCCAAAGCTGCACGATGACTCGACGTGACACCGGTATCAGATGACCAGTGACATGTCACCGACCGTCCCTCGCTCCCTCCAGCCGGCATGCACACAGCAGCAATCACACTCGTTACTCACGTTTATGGCATATGACCGTCCGCGGGGCATCAGTCTGGGACTGGGTGCATTCGCCGAGAGGCACGCTGCCGCTCTGGTAGGTGCGTAGTCTTCTCAAATACCTATCTCTTGTCAGTTATCCACTTAGGCGCGGGAGGCGGGGGGGGGGGGGGGCAGTGGGGGCAGCTTGCCCCTCCCCCCCAACTCTGGGGCCGTGGGGGCGGTGCCCCCACAGCTTTGAGACGGAATACCACACTTTTTTTTGCAAATGTTTTCTTTTTTGTTGAAAAAGCCGAGGGGTGAAAAATAAGTGGCCTAAAACCGGTGAGAAAACTAGATTTGGGGTACCCTAGGTTAATCTCTATTATGGTGTGCCCCCCCCCCCCCCAGTCGGAAAGTAGTTCCCGCGCCCCTGGTTATCCAGATAGTTGTTTTCGACGGTAGTTTGGAACCGAATAGTAGAAAGTAATGCACACCGGAACTGCATGCTCCTGCATGCTTATCACTGCATGCTTATCACTGCATGCTGCATTGCTTTCAGGCATGACAGGCCTTGAAGCATATCCAGCATTGCAAAAGCAATTGAAGTTCACACGAAGCCTGGCGTGCTTAAATTCTGCTCTCATTCCTGGATCCTAAAAATCCAAGGTAAAAAGCGTTATGGGATTAATACTTTATCTACAATTTTCTTTTTCCCACGGCTGAGACCTATGTAGTATGTAGGTGCCTATAGCATGGATTTAGACTCGGTCTCTGTTTCCAATGTTCTAGCATAATTCACAATTTACTTGTGATATGATTCTGTTTTATGTTAAGAGCCTTTACACAAGTGCTTAGCTAACCCTCTCAGTATTGAGTACCCACGCTCCCTCATGACAACGGGCAGTGGAAGCAGGACGACCAAGAGCTTGGAACGATTGAAGCGTCACCTATAGACGACTATGCAACCACTAGTATTGATGTTTTGCCAGTAGGTGACGCCCTGGTTCAGGGTGTTAGCATACCTATCGATAAAAGCAATCAATCCCTAAACAAGTAATGCGTTTGCTAAATGTTGCAATTTTATTTTGCTGTCGCATGCATTGTGCTGTTTTAATTAGTACCCAATAACTCTAAGGAAAGAAACATAATTTAACTGAGATCTACTGCTACGGACGACGCACCTAGCATTATAGATAGTATACGATGATTCGTTTTTTTATGGTTTTTGAATAACAGGATGACACTTCGCCAAGCCAATTACCGACTGATGAGCCGCAGTGGCTGAGCCCATCGTTAAACAGACCAAACAGCATTTCGAGTGATCGCCTCAGATGAGTATGCTCAATCAGCTCAGATAGCTTCCTGACAACAGATGTTTTAAAAACATCTGCTAAGAAGTGTCGGTAAATAACCATGCTAACGCCCCTCCCCTTTCAGTGTGTGACGATACCTGGGTGTTCATTTGGTCAACAATTACCCGGTGGACCGGGTGGCGACCAGTCTGCGGTCACCTCACCAAAGAAGTGCCGGCGCATGCCCTCCCGCTGCACTGTCCGCTGTGAAGGGTGGCTGCTTAAAGACTTCTAACGCAAACGGCAAAACGCCACTCTGAGTTCAGACTTGGAAAACAAGAGTGAATGTAAGTCGCGAGAGCTGAGTGATAGCGGACGTTTCGCCGGGACGAGTTAGTGGTTTGTAATCTTCTATCAATTCATCAATTTGTTTCTGTGACATGTACAGTGATAAAGCCATACACGAGCACCGTCGTGATCTCATACAGTCCAACTTGCCATTCTCTGTCGGAGTGTTGCCTCCAGTTGATCAGTACCATCTCGCCGACAGGTGCAGCAGTGCAGGAGTGAATGCGGTGCCGGTGGGACCTCCGTCCCACACAGCGGCGATGGGATCTCCATCGAAGATCGGCGGTGGGACCGGTGGGATCTCCGTCCATCCGCCAGTCACCTGAGATGTCGCCCATCGGAATGTCGAGGACGTCTAGACTCTTCAGAAGCCTCGTATCTGGCGGAATAAGGTTAGTTGTGTTAGTCTGAACTCTGAGCGACCCTACGTTAATATGCGAGAAAGTAACATGCAAGCAATGTGACCAAATGTAAGATCGGCAGGCAGTGTTTTTTTTTTTTTTTTACACGGATGCTGAAGCAGCTTTAGTCGCTGAATGAGTTAAGATGTACTCTGCTGTTATTTCAGATGCACCTTTAAGCTGGACGTATCGCTGGTGGTGCAGCGTATCATACACCTAGTCCCACCGCCGGACCATGGAACCTGGTGAGTTGGTTGGTACCGCACCTTCACTGAACTGTGAGTTGGTTGGTGTACCGCACCTTCACTGAACTGTGAGTTGGTTGGTGCACCGCACATTCACTGAACGAGTTGGTTGGTGCACCGGGCCTTCACTGAACCTGGTGAGGTGGTTGGTGCTCCGCCCCATCACTGAACCTGGTGAGTTGGTTGGTGCACCGCACCTTCACTGAACCCGGTGAGGTGGTGGACTGAAGGCTAAAGCGGCGTTGGGTGTATCCACCTGGCATTGTTATCGAATATTGTCATCCTGTCCGAAAGTGTTTGTTATAGTTATGGATATCATAGCGAAATTTAGTTTATTTACCATTTTCTTTCATAAGAGAACACGGCTGACGGCATCCTGAAAAATCGGGCTGAGCTGAAATGTATGCCGTCGATTGCATGTACTAGCAGTTCGTCCTTTTGCCGCCAGGTGTAATTGCTGGCTCGGAACTGACTCCAGATCCAGCCTGTCGCCTCGCGCCGGAATGCTCCTAGCAAGTGGGTTATATGGCGCTGGCCATGACCTTTCTATCTGTCCTTTCTCATCTGTCCTTTCCATCTTCAGAACCAACCCTTCTTCATCTTTGATCGCACTTCCCTTAGTATTCCGGACTGACGGTTACCCGGCCACCAGACAACCGGACAGGACAATTCCAGAAGAGACCGGTCCTTCCGCGTAACTGAATTACGGCTGGGTGCTTGGTGGCCTGCCATACGACATTTCCGTCCCAATGGCAGGGCTCAGCCACTGCGGCACACCAGTCGGTGGTCAACTCAGCGCAGTGTTTTATCTCTACCCTCTCCTTTCATAGCCTTGAAATGGTTTAAATGTATCAACATTCAACACAGACTTATCCAACCAAACAACGAAGGCCTTGTGCTGGTTAAGTCAAATGCCTGTATTATGAGTTGAGTTGTAGATTTCACTGACACACACAAGATGTTACGTCTCCTAGAGGAGTTATTAACATTACCAAGCATTATCGTGTGGAAGGGGGGATGGGGCGGATTTCGCCCACCCCTCCTGTTTTTCACCAATAACTCGCGCCGCAAACATAATATTAATGTGAAATTTTGGCTACCCGTCCAGAATTGAATTGCGGATCTTCTCGTGTAAGAAATAAGAAAATCGGTTCACAACTTTTCTAGTAATAGCGGTGTAAAGTCAAACATCCTGCCGCCGCGGCGGCGCGCCGCCGCGGCGGCCGGCGCTAGCCGTTACGCGCCGCCTGAATTGTAGACTGTGCTGGGGCGGGACGGCTCCGTCTTTACATCGCGCTCCTTACCGCTGATTATATTAGATTCGCGTCAAATTCGGTGAGAAGACTGAGAAATGTACAGGCAATCATATGGTCAAAGAATTTTGAAAATCTGCCGGTAACAATTTGAGTTATGAGTGTGTAAACACAAAATTGTGATTTCCGCGTTTCCCGCGTCGGCCGATCCCGCTTCAGCCGGCGACATCTTACCCTTAGCAGGCTTCTAACTGCCATATTTATTGTTGGATTATCTAGAAATTCACCATACATACTCACAAATGTTTGTTCTTTCGTATAGTGAAAGAAAAAAGAAAATCGGCCGGTAACTTTTTGAGTTATCGGCGTGTAAACGCAAAAAAGTCGCTAATATGGCAGATTTGACCACATTTGACCTCATTTGACCTTGAAGATATTGACCTAGGGTCATGAAATTCACACACAACAGAGTTCCCCATAGCCCCCACCTACCCTCCAAATTTCGTCTTTCTAGCTCCAGTGGGAGCTGAGATCTTAGGGGGGGCGACATCCGCCCCCCCCCCCTTCCACTGGGTGTAGTACTCGCAACCCTTCCACTGCGCCTGTTAAGGGGGGGGGGGTAAACGGGGTTCCGCGGGGTTGTGCGACGGTCCGGTCTGTCCGAAAATAGCCCAGCCGAGGCAACAAAGGGCTCTTGCAGACCCAAAACCGGCATCTGAGGGGCCAGGTGTGCCTCTGCATGGGCAGGGCCGTGGGGTCGGGGTCGGAGTCGGTCGGAGTGGACAGCTCTGACCGGAGTCGGACTCGGTTTGGGGAGCCCGGGTCGAAGTCGAGTCGAAGACACTGAAAAATCCATCACAGAAACTGTGCATGCAAGAATATGGACTTTTAGGGTGAACCAATTGCCTGGATCATTTTCAACTTCTTCTGGATGACCTCCCCTGCTAAAGCTGACGTAACGGGTAATGGGTAAAACATTGATTTTACCAAAGTCGTCCGCTCTAAAAAATACATTATTTTTCATATCATAGCTAGATGAAAAAAGCGTTGCCACCACTGCACCCCTCGCGCCATTACGCGTCGAACGACATATTAAACGTGTGAGTAATGCCTGTAGAAAGGCATGATTTAACACGACATTCGATTTTGCCCCACCCCCAACCGAAAATATCTGGCGACGCCTATGTTCCCAAGCATGATGTGAGCAGGAAGAGATGATGTTGAGGACAAGTAGTTAAGGAAATCGCACATAGACCTTTAGAAAGTATAAGTGATTATACTTTATCTTCTCTTTCTCTCGCACATAAGAGATTATGTGCGAACACTATCCGATGACCATTGTTCATTGCCCCATGTCGTTGGTTTCAGATCGGTCCGGTTTGGCGACGAAAATGGGTGTTCCGGTTTTAATGTCGGGATGTGGAATATGTATTGTGGCGTGTGAAAGGTGAATGGATTTGGCATCGGATTGTATTTTATTTCTTGCACATTGTTCCCCGATGTATCCGAGGCTGCTTTCCCATGTTCAACCATTCAATATCCTCAGGCATTTGTAATTACATAATAAAACATATATTAATTTATAATACGGACAGTTGTCCAAGTTTCACATCTGCGTCGAACGAAACTATTGTAACTATTGATTTCACATGCACAACTCTAGGCGAAAGACCGTGTTCTAAATGTGGAGAAACAAAACATGCATTTGTGAAACAAGTTCATGTACGCAACTTTGAAAGTTTGAACATAGCCATGTATGAAACTTTAGCTTGTCAGTTGTCCGTACTTACCATTATTTCCAGGAAACAGAACAGATGCGATTAAAGCATCTCATCAGTGAGATGCATTGATTTTTGTTTGTTTTGTTTTGTTGGGTTAGGCCCTTTCGGTCGACAAGACCATTGCAGAGCCGGAAGGATGATAGGAATTAGGGGGAGACATTGGTCTGGGCAGGCATCCTAGTGAGTCGCCGGGGCTGAGCCCGTCCGAAGACAGGCCACCCAGCCCCAAGGCACTCACTGCACCCGGCTACGGGGTGCGCTCCCTCGGGAGCAGCGGTGCCGCTCCAAGGGAGCAGCCCGCATGAGATAAAGTTGCCTGTCCAGCCCGGAAGGGGGTGGCGGTGTGGAGGAGAAGGATCCTCAGGCTTCTATCCTGAGGATAGAAGCACGGATAGGTCGAGATGCATTGAGCTCAGGTGCAGCATATACTAACCAATCGCTCGCTCCCTGTTTTGCGCATATGCCGCCCCTGAGTTTCATTTTTCTGAGTGCCTGCTTGTCGCCTAAGCGGCTTTATGTGGGATGACCGATGCTGTGCCGCCGCCCGGCAGAGGGGACAGAAGGTCTCGGGGGCGCTGCGGGTGTCGGTTTTTATAGCGGCCCCGCTGACGGATCCGCTGTTCCGGTCCAATTAGCGGCTCCCGCCCGCTGCCGGCTCCATTGTGCCGCCCTGACCGATGGTTCCTGCTGGGAAGGACGCACCTGTGCACGCTAAATGGTCCGATGAATATTGCAGCGCGCCTCTGCGCTATCTGCTGGAGTGTGACGAGAGCGGCCCATTGTCGGCAGCGGGGCCGGGCCCGGCGCCAGGCCTCGACCGGGTGCGAGTGAATGCCCTGGAAACTGCGGAGTAAATGGCTAGGTGCAGGTCTTAAGGTACGGTTTTATCGCTCGAAACGCATGTTTGATCGTGTATTTTTTGTGATAGAGCTGCAGAGCAGCTGTGGTGCTCTGGAGAGGGAAGCGGGTATGCAAATATCGTATGTATGTTTTACTACTGATGGGCTATACCTATGACTGTAACATAAGAACTAAAGAAATTAAATTAAAAAATTACCTCCGCCCCACAGGATGAGCTGGTAGTTGGTACATATGCTTAAGTGGAAAATATACCTATCAAGGAGCATCAGAACCTCACATCCATTATTCAACCTATGATAGGACCTTTTAAGCCAATATCTAGTTTTAGTGCCTTGGTCGATATGGTGTTCATCAAGGGAGGAATCAAAAGAAATTCAGAACGTGCGTGAATGGCATGAAACGAAACGGCTCTAATGAAACGCATTTTTCGCATTTCGATAATTTCACCGGATTCCTGGGCTTTTCTTATGTCGTATATTAAATTCACCGTAAATTATCAACTTTATTTATTGTGCTAGCGCAAAAGATTATTAAGCAAATTAAGTTTTGTTCAACAGCATGGCCTGACTGAATTGCTTCACGTTTCGGTCAGCCATGGCATCTGACGTCGCATCGTTGGAGCCGTCCGCTGACGATGATGTCAAGAAAAACGCTGACGAACAAATTGACAAAGCAAAGGATGAGACGGTGCCTGAACAAACTGAGGCAACAACCGCCGATGATGCGGCCAAAAATGCTGCACAATCGGAAGCAGAAGAAAAGAAGGTTAGCGTTATGGAGGCACATGGGTATCTGCTCGGCACTATCCTTGGCACAGGCTCCTATGCTACCGTTAAAATGGCCTTCTCCTCGCGGCATAAATGTAAAGTTGCTGTGAAAATTGTTTCCAAGAAAAAGTCGCCCACAAGCTATGTGCACAAGTTTTTGCCAAGAGAAATTGATGCCGTACGCATACTGAGGCATCCCAACATCATATGCTTCCTTCAATCAATCGAGACCACCAACCGAGTGTATCTTATCATGGAAGTGGCCGATGGAGGTGACGTTTTGAAGGCGATACGGGATTCCAAACACATCGAGGAGCCGGACGCTGGCAGGTGGTTTGGTCAGGTTCTAGGCGCCGTCGATTACTGCCACAAACGAGGGGTCGTTCACAGAGATCTGAAGTGTGAAAATCTCCTTCTTGACCGTGCCAAGAACATCAAAATCACCGACTTCGGGTTCGCTCGTGTGTTCGATCCCAAGGAGGCGATGGAGCCGAGTAGCACGTTCTGCGGCAGCTACCCGTACGCCCCGCCGGAGATTCTGCGCGGCATCGCCTACCACCCGCCGTCGGCCGACGTCTGGAGCATGGGCGTCATCCTCTTCACCATGGTGTTCGGCCGGCTGCCGTTCGACGACCACAACCACCGCACGCTCATCAAGCAGGTGATGGCCGGCCCCGTGTTCCCGGCGCGGCACGCCTACCAGCTCAAGGCGTCCACCGAACTCCGAGACCTGCTGGTCAAAATTCTGAAGCCGATGCCAGCGCGACCCGGTCTGGACAGCATCAGGCAGGATACTTGGTTCGCCAAACACTGCGCCGGCTCGGTGGTGGTGAAGCAGAGCAAGGACGGCACATCACTGATGGAGGTGCTCAAAGAGGACGAGAGTCCCGCGGTCGAGTCGGAAGACGCCTTCTCCGAGTTCTGATCAAAGTCAGTGTGATGTAAAGTCGCCACTAAGTTTGGTCTATCGGATTTGTGTTGGATGTGGAATTATGAAGACTTATAAGTTATAAGAAACCTTACATAAGTTGTGAGGTGCCAGTGTCTTCTGTTGATGACGTTATTATGGGTTCACGTTAAAAACTTCTTCCCATGTCTACCACAAGAAACTTATAAGCTCCATACATAGGAAATATATTCATAACAAGTTGCATCAACTGTGTGCATTTTGATGTACCGTAAAGTGGGGCTATTTGAGACAGTAAGGTAATGGTACAGTAAAATCGCTGTAAAATGAAAACCGTTTGATGTTTTTTCGTCATTTTTGCTTAAGCTGATGTGGAATTGAACAATGAATGCTCTGAATAACCTTTTTGAAAATTTCGAAAAGTTCTGAAAGAAATTTGCAATAAAATACGAAATACAGAAAAACGCACAATTTAAGTTGCTCGAAAAGGACCCCTACCTGCAGCTTAAAAAAGTTGAAGTTTTAACAGCTTCGCCACTGTATCTATCGCTACTACCTTTTTGCTTATAGGTTAAGCACATTTTTCATGAAAATATTATATATTGTTAACGGTACTGCCGATTGCGTAACCCATTGTCTCAGAATCCCGATAATGCCCACCTGGTCAAACCTCAACGGATATGCCAAATAGCTGATGATAACGGTGAGGCGATGCACCCGAGAAGACTTACCGCCATCTACCTGAAGTGCATCGAACGTTCGACATAAGCAACACCGGTGAATCGGTCGTGGTCATAAACGTGCAGTGGGTTCATGGTAGGTACTTTTAGCAGCAAGCAATATTTACATGTTCGTAGTGTAACATAATAACCCTTTAGCTGGTGACCAAACTAGTTATTCTGATGAATATGTGCTTAAAATGTGCTTCATCAGTCACTGACTCATTCGGCAATCAACATATGTCTACCTTGGTTGACCAAAAAACACCATCGAATGTTACTTAACACATGAACGTACTGTTAGGTGAGCCTATCCAAGTACTTGATGTGGTAGGGTAACCGGCCAATTGATACGGCATGCAGCGATCGAGGAAAATCGGCATAAAATCAAAACCGTTTAACATTTTTCTGTTATTTCTTCGCATGGAGATGTACAATGGAACAAACAATCATGCAGACCATTCACTCAAATGTTTTGGGAAACCTTTTGCCTTGTTTGATTCATTACAGTGTGCTTCATAAGGTAGCGAGACTGTCTCAAATAGCCCCACCGACTTTCGGTATATCTGTTTTCACGTCACCGGGGCTATATACAAAAACTTACTTTCAAAATTTTACTGTCGATGACTTTAAAATAGTCCTTGATGATCATCCTGTCAGTTTGAAAGCTATGGGTCACATCATATTATGATAGCCTTAGCATATAGTGATGCAATTTTATACCCTACCGAAATGAAGTGTCCTACGAAAAAGGAAAAGATTGAATATAAAGGTCATATAACAGTCTTTGAAAAACAATTTTTGCCAAAATGATCAAAATTCAATTTCCAAATGCATGGCGTTTAAAAAATTATCTCTAGCGTGACCGATTTTCTTTAATTTCCTTGCAACTAAAACTGTCTCAAATAGCCCCACCCTATGGGGCTATTTGAGACAGGCTTTAACATGAAAAATAACCTCAGTCATTATTATTAGCAGAACCAAAATACGCCTATATGAAAGAGCTCACAGAGAACTACATTTTTGCAATTTACATGCTATAAGAAATATGAGCCGTCTTAAAGGGAGAGGCCAAAAACTGTAAAATCCGTTTCAAATAGCCCCACTTTACGGTACATTTTTTGTTAACCCGCGCCCCACTGGGGTCTGCGTATAACACGCCCTACTGGGGGGGGGGGCTATTCATAGCCCCCCCCCTCCTAACTCCGAAACTACTGGGCCGATCGTCAAAATTCAAACGGCGTCTGATAGCCCTGGAAAAACTGTCGAGCGAAACCTAATTTTATTGACCTCGAGGTCACTGATGACGTCACAGGTCAGGTCAAAGTAAAAATTATTAGCATTTTGGCTTCTTCACGTTTTGGGCTCTGGCCGCCGTCTTACAAGTCAGATCAGGCTCATTTTTGGTTCACACACTCGTGAACAGATGCTCTAGATACTCTGAGGGTACCAAACTTGTACTTTGATTTTCAGGTCAAGGTCAGGTCATCACAGGTCACGAAAATATTATATCATCCGTCGGTCACGTGACACATGTTTTATGGTCTATTTAGGCCAAACATGTCGAATTTGATGTCGTCTGTGTCATGCGAGGTCATTTTGAGTCAAATTTAGCTTAGGTCAGGTCACTTTCAGGTCAAAAAAGGTCAAATTTTGAAGTTAAAATGTTTCAACAAAAAAGGTGTCTATTCGATGCAGTTTGAGCTCAGGAACACGATGGTGCTAATTATATTGGCGTACGATGTCAAATTCGTGCTGAAAAATTGATTTGAAAAATTAATAATTGTTAATTTTTTGCAATAATGCGTATAACTTGGCCATTTTTGAAGATATTTAGCTAAAACTTGCTAGAGGTAGTCATAATAATGCGTTCTATCACATATATTCCGGTTTTTTCGAAAAGTCAAAAACTTTTTGAAAAAAATGTAAAAATATAAATTTTGAATTTTATTATTTAAAATTTTCGAAATTTTCAAAATTTCGAAAATCCGAGATAGCAGTTTGATAGCGCAGTCTATTTTGAGTCCTCTCATGCAAAGAAATTGGATCTAGCTTAAAAACTGAGCTCTTGGGAGCGATTGCCGTGGTTCAATGTTTTGCGTCGAAATCGGCCGAACATGACGTCACTCTGACGTCATTTCCGGCCGACCTATGGTAGGTACGAAGTTCAAATTTTGACACAAGGTGTCAAATTGATGCAGCCGAAGGTACTGAAAGTTTGGTGTCGATACGTCAAGCGGTTTGGAAGTTATTGCAGAAAAACGGGAGGGGGGCTATAAATAGCCCCCCAGTGGGGCGCGGGTTAACTATTGAGTAACGAACCAAGAAACATGATAACGAATGCAAAAAAGCTCATAGCACCCTCCACAATTAAAGGGCATGTCTGTGATACAATGCCATGGCATTCATGATTCAATGAAAGCCGACGTCAGGCGGTCAATAACCACATGGAGGCCTGCGGACATCTGGCGCAGACCGGTCCCGATAGGGTGCCGCTGCCCCCACCCCTCTGAGCACCAAACAGGAGCATTTTTCAGCCGCCACTGACACGGCCTGCATTGTGCCGCTCTGCTCTGGCGCCGGCCGCTGCCTTTTTGCGCGCGCGCCGGTGACGGCAGGCTTTGTGACGTTCATTCGTCAGCGGCACAAAACCAGGCTGGTGGACTCCCCCAGTCGGCTGGCGAGAGGCGGGGAATAGATCTCTGGACTGTGACGCGCCACGCACCCTCCCGATCACGACACAGCACTGGCGCACCGCGGGCTCGTGCAGCCGGGGGATCTGCCGGCGCGAGTTATGCCAATGTGTGTCTTGACGGATTGATAATTGCGTCCCTTGCCGGAATGCTTTTTTAAGTTTGGTTCAACTCAAAACTTAAGATTTTTCCAACTTCGCCGATGATATCCTGGGTTAGGTCGTCAGAAAGATGCTATTGAAAAATGAACAAATTTTAATGACATTGTTTGCTGACCAGTATCGCATGTATGTACTCGTATTCAGCGTTTCAGTTATGATTTTCTTATATCATTGAGAAGACCAGAGACAGGCACTACGCACTCGCTGCATATCTTTTATCCTTAGAATTTCTGTCGCCAAATCGCAACATTTTTCTCTCGATGTGGAACGCACTTTTGTGTCTGCGCATTACTGGTGCGAACAAAAACGCATTCAGTCTCACGCGTGCTCGTCATTTATGCATCCTACGTGCAGCATATGGTCTCGGCGGCGCGGCCGGTGCTGCCGGCACGGTGTTCTCTGCACTCGGGGGCGCTCCATCACGCGGGAACAAAGTCGGCCCGCTCGGCGCTGAGAGCCGTGCCGCTCCCGCCTCCGCTACGGCGATTATTCGCGGCGCGAATGTATTAATGCGCCGAATTGGAGGTGTCAGTGGCGCTGAGCAATGACGTCCGATCGGTCACCGGCGGCGACGGCGGCGCGTCGCGATCGGCGCGCCGCAGACGGAGTGACGCATTGTTCCGGTGCCGCTCCACGAGCGACGCATCCCGGCCCGGCGCCGTCCCGTGGGAACCGGGTCGGAAAAGGTGCCGCCCGGCGCCCTGGCACAGCCTGTCACCCCCTGTCACCCCCCGCTACAGACTATCGGGGACTTATTCTCATGGATGCATTAGCGGGCCCCGGAACCTCGGAAAAGTGTGGTTCGATACAGCATGACTCCCTGCCTCCAGTATGACTCCTTTTCAGCAGTAGCGGCGGAACACTTTCAATTAAGGGGGGCACTACCGACTTTTGGTCCCATTCTTTCCATGCAACACCCATAGGGCTAATGTTCAAATGCCAAAATCAAAGGGGGGCACGGTGCCCCGGTGCCCTCCCCGTTCCGCCGCCTATGCTTTTCAGGCCATACCGATGAGACGCGAAAGAAGAAATGCGCTTCGAAGAGGAAACTGGTCAAATTATTTTGCCTTTGCCCAGAATCTTCAGCCGGACCCTCCTCCGTTACGATATTTCTTTCAGAGCTAGGTAATATTCCTCTCGGACCATTTCACCTTATTAGCTATCAACCAGTAGTTCTCTGATGAAGCATGGCCGTGGATCAGCCTCAGACAATTTCGTCCGAAATGAACAACAGACGCTGAGTGCGCACAAAAGACGCCGAGGGGACCTGCCGAGTCCCCTCGGCCCTCAGCACAAGCTGCTGAGACCAATATTGGGATCGATCACATGCCTCACTATCCAGAGAACAACAGAGAAGACAAGGAAAGCACTTCAGAGATGAATATTGTCGAAATCCTGCAGTCACCTGCAGTTGGCCATGGCCTACCCCGTACCCGTCTCCCTCTCGTCTCGTCTCTCGTCTTCCTTTCGTCTCTCGCCCGCCCGCTCCGCAACGTCTGCCACCCTGACGTCTCCAGCTCCTTCCTTCTGGGTGTAGTTCGGCGCCCGAGTGACCGTCCACTATTGATTACAATCGTCCGGCCTAGGGGTAGGGAGCGAGGCGAGCAGCGGGCGCGACGATTAATAGGCGGCCAGATAAGGTATTGATAGTGGCCCTGTGCCGAGTGTCGAGGGGTG